CACACACACACACACACACACACACACAGATAATGCATCTATTCCCCTGGAGAGGCCAGCTCACACACACACACACACACACACACACACAGAATGCATCTATTCCCCTGGAGAGGCCAGCTCTCTAATCTCTGCTCATGGCTTGAAATCTCTGGAAAGAAATAGACCTGGACAGAAACAGTTGAATATGCAGAGAGCTAAGGGAAGGATGTTTAAGTCTTTTTTTGGTCATTTTTCTCACTTTGCCTGAGAGAGGCTGTTAAGGGGGGTGAGCAAGAGATATATATGGAATATAGGAATTTAGAGGAGATGGAAACAGAGGCTGAGTGAGGATCCACAAGAGATGGGAATTGAGACTGGCTTGGCTGTAGTGTGACATTGGCCAGCAGCTCATTTCTCTGAGCTACTCATGATGCCATGTCATGCTAACAGGACCTCGAACATTCTATTCACCTTCTTTGTAATGGGCCAGTCTCCCCCAAGTTCCAGAGCATCTTCCTCATCTTATGTTGTATTCTTGAATCTGGAAAAATTATTTCCTTGCCGGAGAGCTTCCATCTCCTCTCAAATAAAAATAGACCACTTCAGGGTGGGAGGAACATCCATCTCTGCCCTTAGGACACGAGGACAAAGGAGTTTGATAGGAAGTCTGAATGGAGACTCTTCTTTGAAAAGTTGAACTGCATTTGCGTCATTGCACAGTTTGTCAGAGAAACTGGCAGTAAGCAGAGTTAAGGACTTTTTCAACTGGTACATCAGATACAGGATGGAAGAGTCACTCTTCACTGCCATTGAATCGATGCTGACTCATAATTACCATATAGGACAGGGTAGAACTGTCCCTGTGAATTCAGAGACTGTAACTGTTTACAGGAGTAGCAAACCTCATCTTGCTCCTGAGGAGTGGGCTGAAGGTTTAGAACTGCCAACCTTGCGGATTGCAGCCCAACTCCTAACCCCATACACCACCACCGTGTAGGTGTAGAGGAGACAGAAGAGTAGAGTACAGGAAAAATGGCAAAAATGAGACAGGGTGGGGCTCACCAAATAATCAGGGAGGGTGGAAATCATTGTTTTGTAATAGCTTTATTGAGATAAAGTTCACATACCATACAATTCACCCATTTAAAATGTACAAGGCAATGGCTTTTAATATATTCACAGAGTTGTGCAACTATCCCCACAATCAATTACTGAACATTCTGATCCTTCCAAGAAGAAACCCCATATCCATTAGCAATCAATCACTCCTCATCTGTCCCATTCCCCATTCTCCCAGCCCCTGGCAACCACCAATCTGCTTTTTGTCTCTATAGATTTGCCTGTCCTGGACATTGGTATAAACGGAATAATACAATATGTGGCGTTTGGTGTCTGACTTCTTCCACTTAACATGTTTCCAAGGTTCTTCCATGTTGTACCATGTATCGATACTTCATTCCTTTCTATGACTAAATCATACACCTGTGCCTCATTTATCAACTATCTCACTTTCCAACATTTTGCAATTACAACAATAGTAAAACATATACTATCCAACCATTATGTACACTAATAATGTAATTCTGGCAGTAATAAATGCTGAGGTACCAGGTCAGAGTAATGATTAAGGCTGGGCCATGATTCTCATTGTTTTGGCAGTGATACAATGATACAATTTGGCAGTTATGTAATCATGTATTGACCTTCCATTTTTCATAATGATTTTTACATAACGACCTGACATTTGGAACAGAAAGATTGTCGATAAGTGAGGAGTGAGTGTGTTCCATTGTATGCATATACCACATTTTGTGTATACATTCATTAGATGCTAGATTTTTCAGTTGTTTCCACTTTTTGGCTATTATCAATAATGCTACTATGAATCTTTGTATTCAAGATTTTGTGCAGATTTATGTTTTCATTTCTCTTGGGTATATCTAGGGGAATTACTGGGTCATATGGCAACTTTTCAACATGTTGAAGAATGTCTATACTGTTTTCCACAGAGACTGTACCATTTTACATTCCCACCAGCAGTCTATGAGGGCTCCATTTTCTCCACATCTGTATCAACCCTTATTATTATCAGGCTTTTTGGTTCTCACCCTAGTGGGTGTGACGTAGTATCCCACTGTGACCTTGATTTGCAGCTCCCTAATGACTGATATTGAGCATCTTTTCACGTACTGATTGGCCATTTGTATATCTTCTTTGGAGAAATCTCTATTTCGATCCATTGCCCATTTAAAATTGATTTATTTGTCTTTTATTATTAGATTGTATGTGTTTTAAAAAGATTTATTCTGGGTATAACTCCCTTCTCAGATTGGCAAATATTTTCTCCTATTCTGTCACTTACTTGTCCTTTCACTTTCTTGGAGCTGTCGAGGGGGAAATTTTATAGATATATTTTTATATGAAGTCCACTTTACCCTTTTCCTTCGGGTGGTTATGTTTTGGGTGCCGTATCTGAGGAAGCACTGCCTAGCTATTGGCCGTGACACTTCATGCCTAGGCTTTTGTTTGCCTGTAGCCCAGTGGTTCTCAACCTTCCTAATGTCGTGACCCTTTAATACAGTTCATCATGTTGCGGTGA